CCCCAGAGGGCCCTGCCAACCCCTAACATTCTATATTTCACCACAGTTACACAGGCAGGTACGGTACTCATCGGGCACATGAGAACCCAGCCGTCAGGATGGGCAGCCCCAACAGAAGCAGAACTGAATTAACAGTAGTTCACAACTGAACTAACAGTACCACCAGAGCTCCTCTTCTACCAGTACAGTTAGATGAGAGCAGCCGAAAAACCTGCAGAGGCAATGAATGCTCAAAGTTGAACCCTGCCCCCTTCTAAAAAATTGCTCCAAATCAAGAACCTGTTCTACTCCTGGCCCTGCAGAGGCTGTAGCCGAGTTTCTGCAAGGCTCAAAGGAGGGAAATGCCTCAGGAATTCTCTCCCTTTTCTGCAGCAAAGATGAAAGGTGGCATTTAGGTCCGCTGGGAAAACCCCACCTAAGAGGCTAGAGAAAAGGCTCCTGACTTTTCAACAGTCTGCATCTGGCTGGCTGCCTGCCATCTGAATCTCGTCTTACTGTAGGAAATTGCTACGTATTTTGCCTAGGGGCTCTGCATGAAAAGGCACAGACCTGCTGAGAAAAAAAGTTGTCTCATGAAGGCCAAGTTACTTTGTGCTCAGAAAAAAACCTTGCCCACTTCCAAGTGAGACTTCTCCAGGTTGTCTCACCAGTTCTGTCCCCACACGCTTTCTGGGTCGGTGTTTCGTTTTTTGGTATCCAACCTTTATTTTCTCCAACAGCTCCTCTATTCATTTTGGGTTCTTTTGGTGTTCGTTTGGGGTTTTATGTTTTGTTTTGGTGGTTTTTTTAATCTGAAGTTATGCTCAATGTTAAATCTATTGAAGTGCTAACAAGAATGCGAACCCATGACACAAACTAAAACGATGAGGCATTGGTTATGGCATTCCAGAATTTAAGTTCAGAACCTGCACTACTGCTCGAGGAAAAGCAAGAAACGCAAAACACAAATCATAACGGAACGCTGAAGTATCCATTACTAATGTATTACCTAAGATGCAGGGATGCTTAAAAAGGATGTGGTAATAAAAACTGTCTGGGAAATCTTAGACAGAATGTTATTGGAAAATATTAATCCATCAGAACTGAGTCTTTTCCTGGAATGTACGTTACAGCTGAACTTCAGCTGGAAAGGGCTTCCCGTTCCAGAGCGAGAGCTGGTATGATCAAGGCAAACCCTTGAACGCAGAGCACCCATCAGGTCAGACCTTCTGCGCAGTTTGCAGCACAGGTTGGGATCTAGGCCTCTCGCAGCCCAGGAAGAGCTCAAACTATTGGCAAACTGTTTGCTTGGAATTCCTCTGCTCTGTTTCACAAAAAAAAGAGTCTGTATTTCATTTTGCCCTTAAGTAGTATTAGAAGCCTCCCTCCATTGCAATCAAACTCTTCTTTCCTGTTTGTAATTGAACATTTAAGTCTTAGGCATTTGTTCTGTTAAATAACAAACAATAAAATCTAGGCTTGCTATGGTCTAAAATATAACATTTAAATTTTAATTTTCTAAGGTAGTGTCGTACACAGCCGAACATATTTGAGCACAGACTATGTGCCTTTCTGCTGAGAAAAGCTGGTTACAGCAACCTACTTCACAGAAAAAAATCCATCCTTCCACACACAGAGAGGGGCATTGATATACCTATTAAAAGTATGAGAAAATGAAGAGAAAGAGGAAGAAGTGAGAATATTTCTTCTTTGCAAGATTATCACGCAATTTTTACGTGGAATTAAAAAGCTTCTATAATTTTCTCTACTGAAAAGTTACTTCCAGGATCGGCAGTGTTCCTGGCTCACTTCCCACTCCGTGTGCAACACACCCACCCGCCACCCACCCCAGCACAACAGGATTACCTTTTTTCTTGGCCCGTTGGTGTGGATGTACACCAGTTTGTCCCTCGCATGAGAAATGCCCAGGGCTCGTCCAATCACGCTGTTGAGCAAGTTTTTAGGCTGTGGAAATTCCTTCAGTAAGTCTCTGGAATCTGAAAAAAAAAACCAAGAGGAACTGAATGTCTTCTAGTTCTTGTGCAGTCCTGTCCAAAAACATGTTAAAACACCTGCTTCGCTGCAGCTCTGTGAGCATTAAGGTCTCTAAGGTTACAGGCAGAAAAGCAAGCAGAGATATTAAGCGGTTCACCTACAGTGTCTCCAGGCATCAGCAAAATGATACGCAGGAGTGCAAAGCCTCCCGAGCTCCAAATGTCAGATGACACGGCAAATCCAAAACCCTACATCCCATATTTCTTCTCAAACGCACAGATAATTTGTTTCACCCTCTTTTAAAAGCATGAATATCCTCTAGTTAGAACCGCAGCACTGACAGTGTAACTCCACGATTCAGCAACACTGACATAACAGTTTGGAAAGAGTTTTTTCCCTCCAAAAGAATGCAGTATCAACAGAAAAAACTGACAGACTCCATATACCTGTTGAATCCGAACACTAATATCCTAGCATGGAGTTCCAAGCCCAGATTAACGCATGGAGCTGGTGCTGTTTCCTCACTACGGAGGGAAAAAGGGCTCTTCATGTCATTCTTCGATATCAGAAACAAACTGAGCAATAAGTATTTTGAACTGACTTTGGCATTTGCAGCCCCTCCTGAACCAGGGCTACGAGGATGAGGAGGGGACTGGAGCATCTCTCCTAGGAGGAGAGGCTGAGGGAGCTGGGCTTGTTCAGCCTGGAGAAGAGAAGGCTGAGAGGGGACCTTGGAAATGCCTCTAAATATCTGCAGGGTGGGGGTCAGGAGGCCGGGGCCAGACTCTTTGCAGTGGTGCCCAGCGACAGGACAAGGGGCAACGGGCACAAACTGAAGCAGAGGAAGCTCCAGCTGAA